GCATTGATGTTTAAAAGCTCGAATTGTATGATCGGAGTACCATCCTCTTCGAAATTCATCTTCAAACTGGCAAGTTACCTCTTCTATACAAATACTTTTATTAAATGCAAGCAAGCAGGTGAGGAAAAGGATGGAAAAGGGACGAGAAGGTATTTTCAACAATAACTTTACGAACTTCTAATTATACTAATTAATAATAATAATAATAATATATCCGTGTGATGATAAAAATTTTATTTACAAATGCGACAAATGTAGGAATTTGGTTATCGGTAAAATATCAGAGAGAGAAGGAAAGAGAGAGTTGGTGTGTGTGTGTGTGTGTGTGAGAGAGAGAATGATTACGACGTTATTTTTCATTTTTTCGAAATATTTTATAAAACATAATAACAAAAACAATATATTTAACAAAATATTTGTCATTATAATCTTTAGTATGAATGCAACTTTTGTATTTCTATTGAAATAGATTATTTTATTATTTTAATTAATATAATATTATTTAAATAATAATAATAATAATAAATCGTCGTAATCATTTTCTCACTTCATTTTTCTCTCCGAGATATTATCACCGACCAATAGGAGAGAATCACTGAGATGTTTAACAATAATAATAATAATAATCTTTACATTAAATACGATTAAATTCTAACTAGTTGATTTTGTTAATCCATAATTGTTTTCATATTTCATTTATATTTATTAATTTATTTACCTCTTTTTTACCGTATCTCTTTTAACGGTTTTGCATTTATTTACTTTTTTTTTTTTTAAATTTTATTTTATATTCATAATTTGTTCACACAAGCACGTGTGTGTGTATGTGTGTGTGTGTCTATGTGTGACTGGGTATGTTTCATTTCATTCATTCGCAAAACGAGAAGGATCTATGCGGAATTACAATAAATATAGAAATATTTCTCGTAGTACAATAAAAAAGGGTGTCCCTTCTTTTTCATATATGTCCATATGTGTATATATATTTGCATTGGTGTGTTTGTGTGTGTGTGTTATGTTACTGTACGTTTCACCCTTTTTTTTTTTTTTTTTTTTNTTTTAATTATTTTCATTCAAATCTTCTTCCTATCGGATAACATTCGTGATATAATTTATTTAATTTAATTTTATTGTTTAATGAAGGGAACGTATTCGAGAAAAAGGGATAGAATATTTATAATGTATTTCTTTCTTTCTTTTCTTTTCTTTTTTTTTTTTTTTTTAAATCTTCATATCGGTTTTTAAGTGTCAAAGGATAACATCACAGCATTGACATATCAACATTGAAACAATCGAAGCAACGCTTCCTCTCTCTCACTCTCACTTTCTCTCACTCTCTCTCTCTCTCTCTCACTTTCATTCTTGCATAATTGAAAAAAAATAATAAATATAAAACAAAAGGATCCGATAATTTTTGTAACCCTTTGACTGTACAATTGTTTAAAAAAAAAAAAAACACTTAAAACAAATGCCTCTTTGTTCATCCAACAACATCAACATTTCCAATAGGAAAATATTAATGCAAATGTTTATAATTATTATTAATAACATTATGTGACTGATTTTTAAAAGGCCATTTGTTTTACGATTCAAATAGGGTTAACGATAGAAATAATAGAACAATACACCATAGGAATTATATCAACCAATTATTTATAATTAATTTTTTTTTTTTTTTTTTTTTTATTCAAACCTTTTCAAGAGAGTCTCGACGGGAGCCCTTTTTTACTTTTTTATACTTTTTTTTTTTTTTTCATTTATTTATTTTGCTTTTTTTTGTGCGTTGCGACGATCGTACGTATCCATTAAATTTATTTATTTTTATTATTTTCTTCATTTCTCTTTTTTCTTTCTTTCATTTGTTATAGAATACAATTTACACAACATCTCGTTTAATAAATCACCTTCAATTCCAATTACGAATAAATTGTAATTCTCACACACGTTTAACATACATTTAAATGTTTTTTTTTTCTCTCTCTCTCTCTCTCTCTCTCTTTCTCTTTCTCTTTCTCTTTTTCTCTCATGTACACATACATACATATATTATAATCTTTCATACAAGTTCATTCGATTCTCGTATATTTTCACGATCGTAAATGATTTATTAGAATTCATTCATGAATTCTCCCCTCCCCCTCTCTTAACACACCCCTTTTATTTTTTATTTTTTTTTCTTTACATTCGAAGAAGGTAGTTCATTTATTTTTCTTTTTTTTTTTTTAATTCCATTTTTAATCTTTTATCAGATTTTCAAGTTACAGTATTAGAAACAAATAATTTTTGTATACGGTGGTGGTG